ACTTGCCTTTCTTCTTCACTTTTCTCTTCAGCCACCAGCTATCATCAGGCTTCCTGTTTCTACCTGGTACCTGGAACAAAATAACTGTTTTAAATTAGTATATTAATAATTTTACTTTGACTATACTAGATGTAATTGTTTTGTTTTTCAACTTTAGCTTTTTACACTATATCATTCAGACTGTTATCATTTTTATTGGCATATTCATGTGGTTCGTACTGATCATTCAATATCTGTTTATATTTCTGAGATGAACTATTATTCGGACTGTTGGCCACATCTTTATTGTCATATTCATGGAGATCTGTACCGACCCTTCAATCTGTTTATACTTCTAAGATGATTTATTTACATCATTCAGACTATTCTCCTCATCTTTATTGTCATATTCATGAATACAATGTAACTAGTTTGTGAATATGGCAATAAAGATGAGGACAACAGTTTGAATGATATAAATAGTGTAAATAGTTACAATACCTCATCTCAGAAATATAGACAAATATCTTTAACTTTAGTTTAAATTCTCACCTTTATTTAAAATTTTGGTCAGAGAGAGAATAAGTAGTTGAAGAAGGGATAAAGTTTATTTTCAGTCAAGCAAGTAACAATAGCAGGACCCAAATGAAATCTTCTTTGTTATGTGCTTTTACTTTCATTTGACCATGTATAAAAATGCTATTTATTTAGTTTATCTTAGTCTGGCATAAGGTTCCCAGTTAGTATAATTATACACAAAAGTAGTAATGGTTTAAGAAATTGGTAAACATTGCTCCACAGTAAAGAACTTTTATAATTTTTCAGTGATAGTAAAATAAATAAATAAAAATAAATAATAAGGAAACCAAAGTTTCACCATCTCTAAAAATAGATGTAGGCCATGAAGTCATATTTCAACCAACTAATTAGAAGCCATCTCAACCAGGATACAAACATCATACAGTAGCAAGAGAACCAGAAACAAGATTGCTTCCCATCCAGGATATAAAGTCACTTATCATAAGTCAATCAGAAACTCAACAGCAGTTTCAAAGTAGTATTAGATACCAGTTGGCATACAAGGGCTGGCTGAAAGGTTCATAAGGCTGACCAAGATACTCATTGTGACCAAATGAGATTTATTTTTCAACATAGTCCTCTTTGCGGTTCTCACAATTCTTTCGTTGGTGTTGCAGTGTTTGAATTTCATTGGTGATGAAGCTTTCATTCTTTTGGTCAAAAATATCAGCAACAGTAGATATGAGATCATCATTAATGTAATACTGGTTCCCAGCTAAGTGTTTTTTCATGTTGGGGAACAGATGATAGTCAGATGGAGCTAAATCAGGAGAATGGGAAAGGTGATCAACAGTCATGCACAGTAGGTAATTGAAATTAAGAATTTGTATGCTGGATCCTTGTCCTGATGAAACAATGCCCCTTTTGTCAGTTTTCCTGAGTGTTTGGTCTTGATAGTCTTTCGTAACTGCCTCATTAAATTGGAATAGTACTTTACATTGATGGCGTGACCCTTTTAAAGATATTCAATAAACACAATCCTTTTTTTCATAAAAAAAAAAAAAGGGGGCCATCACTTGCATATGAAACAAATTTGACCTTCTTTGGAGCAGGTGAGTGGGGTCTTTTGATTGCATGTATATAAAGAGATGGAAAATAAACTTAAATCAGAATTAATTTTATCAATTCTCCAATGCTGTAGTCATCATAACATACCCAGAGACAAAATATGACACATAAGTGATCCATACAATCTTACAGAGATCTTATACAATACCTACCTCCTCCTACCACCCACTGGCAATCTTAAACATCCACACAGTCCTGTATTAAAACTGAAACATACATACATCCTTTTCCCATATTTTAAGCAAGGTGACTGTTACATTTGAATACATACATATTTACATTGTTTGAACTGTACACATCTTTATTGTCATATTCGCAACATTTTAGCCATTGTACGTTCCAAACTTCTTCAGGTGATTGGAATTTCAAACTGACCCTTTTATTTCATCCACTGGGGTAGATTGTTCTAGTTCCACATGCCATGCCTTTTCTAGATGTCTCAATATCAGTTATCTCCATTTAACACAACTCAACAAGATGTTTGTTGATCTCTGCTGTAGTTAGGTATTGAACTCATAACTCTTTGGGTCAAATCTGGATTTAACCAATACTTTTATCCATGAGGACATCAGTGTATGAATTTTTGAAACTTATAAACCTAATGTCTCAGTAAACATTTTTTACCAGAGCTCATATTACAATTTTGTTGTTATTATTGTTTTTCTCTAACACATTTTTGTGGCCTAGCATATGCGCTGATTCCTTAAGTTTTCATATTTTCTGGTGATGTCTGTTATTTCAATCTCATCCCACAGGGGGTGGTGATCATTTTCCCTCTATACATGGTCAGCTACACCTGATTTTTCTATTTCCCTTCGGGTTATAGCTTTATGGTGTTCCTGCAGTCTTATTTTAAGAGGGTGGCCGATTTCTCCTTTATCAAGGGTGTTTCATGAAGACAGATTATATATAAAGGTGTTTCATTAAGAGAGATCAAAGTCAGCAGTAAATAAATCAATGTTATTGGTGAAAATTTATTTATTTTTCTATTGGATCATGTTTAAGTCGTGGCAAAATAATATCGCCCAAATGTCCACCAAATCTGAAAGAAAAAGAAAAAAATCATTAGATGCCTAAACTTAATTCACATTTAAAAATCAGTCCAAGTTATTGGAGGACTCTTTGTTTCTTACCACAGCTACATGGGATGACATACACACAGTCCTTAATCATGTTCTCCTCTATGGGAGGTCTTATTTGGAAATGGTGCCTGCAAAGTGTTTAACCACTTTTGAAGGTGGTCCTGATGTTATATAAACCACAGATCTTTTGTATTTTTTCCAATAATCCCTTCACATAGGGTAGGCAGACCAAGATTTTTTTTTTTTTGAGTGTTGTTATCCTTATGAACCCTTCTATCCCAGTTTGTCAGAGCTGCTGTCATGTACCCAGAATAGTTTTTACATTATAGGGTACTGCTTATACTGACCATTTCTTCTTCATATATTTCTGAGTTGCCACTTATGCCTTTTGCTCGATGTTGTAAGCAGCGAATGATCCCTTTCTTTACACTGTTTCGGTGGTGGAAGTCAAAGTTGTGGTGAATGTTGGCTTGCAGTATACGGTTGTCTTGAACCCATGCTTTGTTTGTACATCCAGGAATGCTAGTTTGTAGTTTTCTCTCTCCACTCCATCAATGATCTTGTTGAGTTCACATGGTCCAGTAATAGCTGGACCTCTTCCTGGTTCAGTTTGAAATTCCAATCACCTGAAGATGGTCAGAGCGTACAACAGCCAAAACATTGTGAATATGTCAACGAAGATGAGAACAACAGTCTAACAGTGTAGATAGTGTAAATAATTACAATACCTCATCTCAGAAATATAGACAGATACATATGTATGTTTATTTTCCCAGACTCTCTCTCTTTCTCTCTCTCTTTTATGCATTAGGACTTTTACATTTGAATTCTTGAACTCGCACTATCCTTGTGTACATATATTGTGTTATATAAAAATTTATCCTGTATATATTAACTCTGTACATTTTCGGTCAGTCTTTACACAAAGCCATGTAGATATATTGTGAGAATGGATATTGTCAACCTACCAAAAGTTTAGTTTAGCATAATACAAAACCACAAGTGTTGGTATGCTCAATGTGGATTGAAATCACTCTGGTAGTAATGCTCTGTGAGATTATCTTGCTCCATACAGAAGAAATTAAAAGCTTCTTTAAATGATGATTATCATTAAACACTTGATTTTCAGAACTGATCTCAATAAGTGTTGTAACCTAGGGAAGCTTACTAAATAGAATAATCAAAGGTTTTGAATGATAATACTTAAGACAAGAACAACACATATAAGATTTGTCAGTGGTGTGTAGAAGAAGTAGTCAACTGTTAGAAGTGTGTCAAGTGAATTCCACAATGAAACTCCAACTGCAGGATATCTACTAACTGCCCCACATGGTCAGCTGTGGCACAAGGCTGAATTTAATGTGGGGCATCCAAACCCATAGGCTTGGCCAAAAATTCCCTGTAAACCCCGTATAAAATGGGGTCGGGTAGCTGTTTCCTGAGACATAGCCTTGTCTGGGGATCCTCTCTGCCTCCAGACAGAGAGTTTGACCAGCACAGCTGGAGACAAATCTCCAACTGCAGACCAACATACAGTATTTACTACTGTAAATATGTGAATGGGGACATACCCATTATCGTCCATAGGTATGCTACAACAATAAGAATATTGGCCAGATTTGCTCTTTATTGCTGATCAGTATTTGGATTTTTTTTTTCTTAAGAGGCCTATTTTCTTTATCAATTCCAAAACAGTAGATTTTTATCAAATTTATCAAGTCATTTTCGAATGAAGCATGTACATTTACACCTAAATGTAAGTATTCTGGAAATTTTGAATGCAAACTGAGTGCAGATGCTAAACTGCAAATTTACCTGTAATCCCTCTGAAGGGCAAAGTTCCTAGACCAGACAAACCAGTAAGGAATAGGAGTAGCAACATACTGCAACAGATTCACAAGACACCACAAATTAAATTCCCTTACTCATTCACCTATCTTCCTCACCAAGCTATGTGACACTTACACTCTTCCTCCTCACTTTCTCCCTTCCCTCTTTTTCTCACACATACACATGAAGAAATCATATTTCTTTTCATCTTAATAAAAAAGAATTGTAAAAACTCATAAGAAAAATTTAGTTGTAAAAACACAAATATTTTATATTTAAAAACCTTGCATTTTTCTTTGTTGTGGGTTGATTCAAATCCACAACAAATACACTGACCAAACCTTGTCATGGCGTTTGATTGATACAATTAAAATAGGTATTTTGTTCTATATTATAGTAATGTGTTTGTTTTTTTGTTTTTTTTTGCATTTATTTATTTATTTTTGTTTTTTTATTTTTCAGTTGTTGGATGGGATGCTACTTGCTTCCATTTTGTATTGAAGACATGCAGGATGTTATTCATCGTTGCCCTAGTTGTAACAAAACAGTTGGAGTGTGTCGCCGCCTTGAATAAATTGGAACCAACTAATAATAATGTTCTTCTACTGGTCTCCTACCTCAACAGAATTTGTCTTCATGCAATGAAAGAGTGAAAAAGTGTGTAGGAAAGAGAGCGAGGCAGAATAGGACATATTTAAAGTCTGGAGATCAAATTCATTAAAAGTATATCTTTGATGGAGGGTTAAGATTTAGTAGGCTTTGGTTTTTAATGATTTTTATTCTTTAATTTTATTTTTAAATTCTGTGTTTTTTTTTGTTTTTTTTTTGTATGGTCAATTTTTCTCTCTTCAACTACTAATGTACTGTTTGTAATATAAAAAAAAACATTTTTTTTATTATTTTTTGCAAGAAAATAGTTCAAGAAAAAAAAAAAGAAATTTAATATTTTCTAATTTATTTTTTCTTTTGGTAGAGAGAGGAATAGGCACAACTTAAGTAAACTGGTCCACTCATAAAAAAAAAAAATACATAAAAATTTTTTGAGAAATTATTTTTTCAGTGATTGATTTTATACTATATTGATATTATGAACAGGACTCCCCTTCTAAATCAATAACTAATCAATATTTTTCAATTCTGCTAAGTCTTGTGGCTTAAGAAACGTTTTAAAAAATGCTAATCTACAAAAATTATGGTTAATTTGCAGTTTAGCACCCATGCTCAGTTTGCATTAAAAATTTCCAGAATACTTACATTTGTGTGTAATTGTATATGCTCCATTTGAATCTGGCTTGATAAATTTGATAAAATCTACTGTTTTGGAGTTATCGACAGTAAAAGTTCAGATTCATTCGTGTTGTTGGCAGCAGCCATAACTGGCGTTGTTTGCATACATTCGCTGCGGAAATCTAAGTGCAGAAGAGAACGTAGTTAATGGCCTTGTTTACTGATCTTACTTGTCTCAATTACTGTGCAAGAGAACTATATTGCTTGCACAATAATCAAGACAAGTGAATATTCTATTCATAGCTATTCCACAGCAAATGTATGCAAACAACACCAGTAATGGCTGCTGCGACACAAATGAATCTGAACTTTTACTGTTGATAACTCCAAAACAGTAGATTTTATCAAATTTATCAATCCAGATTTGAATGACACATGTACAATTACATATAAATGTAAGTATTCTGGAAATTTTGAATGCGAACTGAGTGCAAGTGCTAAATTGCAAATTAACCAAAATTAAGCTATTTATATTGTTCAGACTATCGTCTTCATCTTTGTTGCCATAATAATCACAATGTTTTGGCATTTATTTCCAAATATTATTTTTCTATTTTTTATGAGTGGACCAGTATATTAAAGTAGTTCAGAGAGGAATAATTTTTCTTGAGTTTTAATTTCTTAAAAACCTTAATGAAAATGCTAAACGCTCCATATCTTTCACTAAAGAAAAAGAAAGAGTTTAAATAAAAAAATGGTACATAATTATCAATTTTATTTTTTTTTTATTTTTAGCTTTTTTATTTACCTTGTCTCATTATCAAGTTTAAAAAAAAATTAACATTAAATAGTAATTGTTCCATGGTTGTGCTAAACAAATAAAAAATAGATTTTGAAAATAAAAATAAGAAGTTGTTTAGCTACACTGGATATTATAACATACTAATTCAAAATTTTGACAAGTATTAATTTCATTGTAATTGATATAAAAAATTAATATCTCTGTCCCATTATAGTTGCTACATTTAATGCACAAAATGTATATGTAAATGTAACAACAATTATGGGACAGAAGTGAATTCTCCTAATAAAAAAAAAATAATTTTTTAAATTGCTCTAATAGAATAGAATATTGTTATGAGTTTCTTAAATTTCTTCTAACTATATGTCCCACAACTTTACTTTCTTTTAATTTTTGAATTTTCCATTATCTGTTTATTTTTGTTTTTTTATAAAATATAGTTTTATGTAATGCAAGATTTTCTTTATTAATTATTTCACCCCAAGTAAGGTAACAAAGCCACTAAAACACAATGGACTACTGAGTCTAAAAGAATAGAAGGAAAAAATCATTAAATAGCAAGAACAATAAAAGAACAGAAATTAAGATTTATACATATACCGTATTTGCTGGCATCAGAGATGTAATTTTTTTTCTTAAATAAGTCTCTGGCATAGATAACCTTCTTCCAGGGTTAGCATAGGCCTACAAAAACCCTAACCTTCGCATGGCAAATTTTCAAGACTTATTTCAGGGAAAAACTGATTTCTTGATGTTGGTAAGTACAGTATATAGATATATATGTATAAATTCCCATATCACTGAACAAACCAGAGTCAACTGCCTGAAGACTGTTGCATAGTGTACAAGAAACTGCTAGTTATGGTCAGTCAAATGTACACTGGATTTTTATAAAAGATATAAATGCTCTGCTATTACGACAGTGAGCTTTTTTCACCAGAGGGCCATTTTAAATATATTCCTTTGGGAATTACTTCTTTGTGTTAATGTATATGGAAATTCTTGGGACCTAGTATTGTTGAGCACTTTTTGCTGGGATCCAGTTCTTGTGCCATTGAGTACTTTTTTGGGATGCCACCCCTCAAATAACAGTTATTTTTGGGTTATTTAATTCTAGATCATATGGGAATTTCACCCTTGGTTATTTTAGATGGGGAGTACATTATATGTATTCATCAACTACCCACTTTATAATACTTTCAGTTAACCGAGGGAGTATATAAACCCATATCACTGAACAGATCAGTGCCGACCACCTGAAGACGGCATACACAGAGCACAAGAAACTGTCTTTCATCTTTGGCCGGAACTACACCAAATTACTATGATAAATATAAATGCTCTGCAATTGTAGCATTGAGCTTTTTTGCCCAGCATTTGATCTTAAATATACTCCTTCGGCTGTAATTTACTTCTATGTATTAATATATAAAGAATTAATGAATTTTACTTTTTAACTTGAGATATTTTTATTGCTTCAAACATTATTTGTAGTGGATACCCATATTTGTGTAGATATTCTGTTTATTTTAAACAGTATTTATTTTGCCTACCAGCTTGTGTATTCAAGAAAATTTAATAAAAAAAAGAAGTGCCCTCCAGCAGGATTCGAACCTGTGTTTGATTCTACCTGTGTGAAGCTCTTCGTAGATGAGGTGAGCAATCAATGCACACCAGATCAGATAGTGGTTTCTCCTGCAGAGGGGGATGCTGGTTTGAATCCTGCTGGAGAGCACATTTTTCTTTAAGTTTTCTTGGGTATGAAGGCCAGTAGATAAAATACTGTTTAAAATAAACAGAGCATCTACTTCAGAGAAATCCACTAAAATAACATTTGATGTGCATATATATATATATATATATATATATATATATATATATATATATATATATATATATATGCACACACACACATATATATATATGTATGTATGTTTTAAGGTATGCTATATTTATATACTACTACATATGAAAAAAATGCAAATATATGTACCATATACAATGCAGATAATGTAACATACTTTAGACAAAACAAGTAAGATATCGAACCTCGCCAAAAATAAAAAAATATAAGTAAATAAACAAATTAAGTAAATAATAAACAAACATGAACACAAGTAAATGTAATAATAATAATAATAATCAACAACAAATAATTAAGTAATTAATAATAATAATGAGTAAAAATTAACAAACACCATAAAATAGCTACAAATAACCACATTTGGATCCAAAATTATTCCTCAAGTAATCTGACGCATAACCATTACCACCCAAATAATGGTTAAGATAATACCATAGACCTTGCTACTCATAATGCACTATTGACAAGTATATAAATAGTTGAGCCAAAACATAATGGTCTGAAGGTTATGTTAAAGCATGAAACACTGCTGGCCCTCAGTGATGACCTCAGTATCCACAGTATATATATATATATATATATATATATATATATATATATATAAGTGGAAAAATTAAATTTATATATATTTTACAAATCTTATGAAGTGTGAAATAATAAAATGGAAATACTCTTGTCAATAACAGGCGACCATCAATTATGATATTTGATTACACAAATTCTTTCCTTAATTTTTTTTTTTAAATGCCATGTCCTTTCAAAACATAAGTGAACATAGCTCTACAAATTTCTTTTCTTCATCTGTGAACTGCCAGGACTTCTTAGGAAAGATAATGGAGTGGTTTCAAATTCAATATTGATGTTTAAAACAAACTTTTACTTACGTTTATAATACACATATATGTCTTATATTTAATGAAAAATAAAATGTGTATTATATTCAAGAAATTGTGGCTTTGAACTATACGATTAACAGTATTGTTGTGTGATGTTAAAGTCCATCCTCCATTTTTAAATATTATCTTGTATGAAAATAACTAAGAAGCAAGAAGTTTAAATTTTATCAAAATTATTTACTTTTCTCGTACAAATGGCTCTGTGTGTTTTTTCATATTGGTTTTCTGAAAATTTAAAGTTATATTGTAAGTATGACATCTTGAAAAAAAGAGTTTTAAGGAATATATTATTTTGTTAATTTCTTCTTCATCAAAAAGAAAGAAAGAATTTTGGTTGGTATCTCATTCGTCATTATGTTCACGTGTTTAATATAACAATATTTGCTGAATGCATGGATGTCATATATTTTACTAACAAAGCCATGTACAGACATAATGTGAGGGATCTGTTTTGTATTTAAATAATAAAACTCCTTTAATAAAATAAAACAAGTATCAAATATATACACGAGTGTAGCATCTGTAAAAAACGAGATTATTTACATATGGATCAACATTTCTGTCTAGTAGTATTTTTACACTCTTCCTAGGATCAAAGTGTAGTTTCTGTACTCACCAAGAATGAAAATGTTTCTCCCCAACTCTTCTTTCTAGATTCAGAGTGTAGTATATATGCACTCTATGAATGTGTTACACACACACACACACACACACACACACACACACACACACACACACACACATATGCTGTATATGTCAGTATACAAGATGACCGTTAATCCTTA